GTTACCGATTTGTAAGAGGCTGCTTCCACCCATTTGGTGAAATAATCGATGGCAACCAAAATAAATCTGTGTCCATTGGAAGCGACCGGTTCTATAGGGCCGATGACATCCATTCCCCAAGCTACAAATGGCCAAGGTGAGCTCATAGCATTGAGTTCGTGAGGTGGCACCCTTATCAAATCTCCGTGCACTTGACATTTATGGCATTTTTGCACGAATTTGCAACAGTCGTTCTCCATAGTCATCCAGAAGTAACCGGCTCGAAGGACTTTTCTTGCCAAGGTAAGCCCGTTCATATGTGTGCCACAGACTCCAGCATGTATCTGTTCAATAAGCCTCACGGCTTCAGCAGCATCCACGCATCTCAAAAGACCCAAATCTGGAGTCCTCCTGTAAAGGACTTCTCCATTCAAAAAGAAATTGAGAGCCATACGACGTATCGACTTCTTTTGATTAGATGTGGCGTCTTCTGGATATGTCCCAGACTCCAAGTACCTCTTTATGTCGAAATACCAAGGCAAACCATCTGGTTCTGATTCCACGTGTGAACAATGGACTGGATGCTCCTTCAAATCTATATCCAGCGGGTCGATGTAATCAATATCCGGATGTTTGATCATTGAAGCGATGGTGGCAAGAGCATCAGCTAATTCATTCTGTATTCGGGGAGTATGTCTGAACTCGATCTTGCGAAACCTTTTACACAGGTTTTGCACATATTGTACATAAGGTACAATCTTTGGGTTCTTCACAGCCCATTCTCCTTGAACTTGATGGATCAAGAGGTCTGAATCTCCAATAACCAGTAACTCGTAAACATTCATGTCAACGGCCATTTTCAAACCGAGAATGCAAGCTTCATACTCAGCCATGTTGTTTGTGCAGTTGAACCGTAGCTTAGCCGCCATAGGATAGTGCTGACCAGATTCTGATACCAAGACTGCTCCAACACCTTTACCCTGGTGATTCACCGCTCCATCAAAGAATAATCTCCAACCTGGATAAACTTCAGAGATATCTTCACCCACAAATGACACTTCTTCATCGTGAAAATATGTCTTGAGAGGTTCATACTCTTCATCAACGGGATTTTCCGCAAGATGATCAGCCAAAGCTTGTGCTTTTATTGCCTTCTGAGTCACGTACACGATGTCAAACTCACTCAACAGCATTTGCCATTTAGCCAGCTTCCCGGTCGGCATCGCTTTCCGGAAAATATACTTCAATGGATCCATTCTGGAGATAAGATATGTAGTATACGACGACAAATAGTGCCTCAGCTTCTGGGCAAGCCATGTCAGAGCACAGCATGTTCTTTCCAGCAAAGTGTAACGAGACTCGTACGGAGTAAACTTCTTGCTGATGTAGTAGATAGCTTTTTCCTTCTTCCCTGTCTCGTCGTGTTGACCAAGTACACATCCAAAGACGTTATCCGAGACAGACAAATATAGCAACAAAGGACTCCCTTCTCGCGGAGGAACCAATACTGGTGGGTTAGACAAGTAGCTCTTGATAGCGTCGAAAGCGGTCTGGCACTCCTCAGTCCACTTAGTTGGGGCATCTTTCTTCAGCAACTTGAAGATAGGCTCACATACCACCGTCGATTGTGCTATAAAACGGCTGATATAGTTTAACCTCCCTAAGAAGCTCATCACCTCTTTTCTCGTCTTCGGCGGAGGTAACTCCTGAATTGCTTTGATCTTGGAAGGGTCGAGCTCAATACCTCTTCTGCTGACTATAAACCCTAACAATTTCCCAGCTGGGACTCCAAAAGCACACTTGGCGGGATTTAGCTTCAAGTTGTACCTACGCAAACGTTCAAAGAATTTTCGCAGGTGTGTCAAATGATCCGAACTCTCGCGGGATTTAATTATGACGTCGTCCACGTACACTTCAATTTCCTTGTGCATCATGTCGTGGAAGATAGTCGTCATGGCTCTCATGTAAGTGGCACCGGCGTTTTTGAGCCCAAACGGCATCACCCTGTAGTGATATACCCCCCAAGGTGTGATGAAGGCCGTTTTCTCCGCGTCTTCTTCATCCATCAGAATCTGGTGATAACCCGCGTAACAATCCACAAATGACTGCATCTCATGTTTCGCACAGTTATCAATCAGAATATGGATATTTGGCAACGGGAAATTATCCTTTGGACTAGCCTTGTTGAGATCTCTGTAATCAACGCAAATCCTGATTTTTCCATCTTTCTTGGCGACCGGAACGACATTCGCCAACCAGGTGGGATATTGCGTTACTTCTACCAACCGGGACTCTATCTGCTTGGTGATTTCCTCCTTAATCTTCAAACTCAACTCAGGCTTGAATTTCCGAGTCTTTTGCTTCACTGGCTCGAACCCTGGGTTGATAGGCAGCTTATGAGATACGACATCGGTACTCAGCCCCTGCATGTCACTGACCTTCCAAACAAACACATCGCTGTATTCGGCAAGCAAATGAATCAGGCTCTCCTTCTGAGTTTCATTCAGGTGAGTGCTGATCTTAACCTCTTTGACACATTCTGAATCTCCCAAATTTACCGTCTCTGTTTCCTCCAGATTCGGTTTATGTTGATTCTCGAACTGTCGAAACTCTTCTACTACATAGTCTGGTTCCCCACTTTCTTCATCGTAGTCGTCAGCCTCATCGTCATTTACCTCATTTTGTTCGTTTAGCTCATGACATGACATGACGTTGGCAGGTTTGTAACTTACGTTACTGAAATCATAAACAGACAAAATTAGAAAAGTAAAACATAACAAGCAATCGAATAAACAAAGTCAAAATAAGGAGGCTTTCATTTAAATTGAATCAAGATGCAAAGTTGGGTCATGGCACAAGGCCACGTCGCCCTTTAAACAATCATAACAAAATTCAAAATCAAGAAAATGCAGAAATGGTGGGTCTCGGGCCTCTTCCGAACGACCACCGATTTTGGCATGCACAAAATAATTCCTTTCTACCCAAAAGTCCGGGACATCAGGATTGGTGTGGACGTCCAATTCTTCAGCATCTCCCCCGGTTCAGCATCGCGAAAGCCAGCTGGCTCGGCCTCCTCCTCTATGACGGCATTGATCTCCTTGAACAGGTCACAGATTCCTTCCCCGTCGTCTTCAGGCTCGGCATGCTCCCGAATTGGAAAGGAGTGATAGAGATGCGGGATCGGCTTAGTCAACTCTTGATCCCTTCTCCTCTTCATCTTCATATCATCATCTGTGGGGATGTACCCCAAACCATACTTTGATCCCTGAGCAAGGACCGGAACAGGCTCAATAATTCCTTGGGAATCTCTTCCCAATCCGAAACCTGGCTCGAACCCATTTTGCAACATCACCGTGGCTATCATTTTGTACACGGTTGGCATGGAGTTGAGGGCCAAATCTTCGTTGGTGGCATTCACCAGCTCCACCGTGTAAAAGTCTGTGCCTTGCGGCATCTCATCAATGACCGACACCTGCTTGCCCGAGCGACTTCCCTCGCCGTGAATCACTAACTCTTCATTTTTCCACACAAGCTTCATCATCTGATGGAGAGTAGAGGGGACGGCTCCAGCCATGTGGATAAACGGCCTTCCCAAAAGAAGGTTGTAGCTAGTGTCTATGTCCAATACTTGGAATTGCGCACTGAACTCTGCGGGGCCCATTTGAAGGGTCAAAGTCACAGCCCCCAAGGTGTCTCTTTGCACACCATCAAATGCCCTTACATTGACCTGATTCTGCTCCAGTTTCCCAAGGTCAAAATTTAGTTGCCTCAACGTCGTCAATGGGCAAATATTCAAACCGGACCCATCATCTACCAAAACACAGTTGACAACCTTTCCACGACATATCACGGTAATGTGTAGCGCTTTGTTGTGGGATCTTCCTTCGACTGGCAACTCATCGTCACAAAAGCTGATCCGGTGCCCCCGAATGACTTGATGAATCATAGAAGCCACGTTATCACTACTTGTACCTGAGGGTACGTATGTATCATCAAGAGCTTTCATTAAGGCCTGCCTGTGGGACTGAGAGCTCATCAGCAAGGCCCACACGGAGATCTGAGCCGGAGTCTTCTCTAAATGTTTGACGATGGAATAGTCCTTCGGTTGCATCCTTCTCCAGAATTCTTCTGCTTCCCCCTCGCTTATCGGCCTCTTAGCATGGTCCTTCTTCTGTCCTCCGAAGAAACCTCATCAGGAGTGTAGCACCTTCCGGACCTGGTCATGCCTTGGGCCACGGCAGTTTCAATGACAAATTTGGGCTTAACGAGGGTTTTCGAAGGCACCAAGGCAACAGCCTTTGCAGGTGTCAGAATAACAAACTTCCTCCTCTCTTTGACACTTAAAGAAGCGACAGCCCTTTCCAAGTCCTCATTCATAATAGGGGTAATCATCTTTGTTCCACACCCGTCTTCATCCGTTTCAATCATATTAAGGTTGTCACCTCCATGATTCGGCAACGGATTTGTGTTGACGTTTGGCACCGCCGGTTGAAGAGAAACTACCTCCTGATCGATCAGGTCTTGGATTTTGTGCTTAAGGTTGATGCAATCTTCCGTGTCATGTCCAACACGATTGGAATGATAAGCACACCTTTGATCTGGCCTGTAGAACTTTGAGTTGACATCCCCGGGTTTGGGCCCCACAGGGTGGATGTATCCATCTGCGGCTAGCCTCTCAAATAGTTTGGTCCGGCTTTCAGCAAGTATGGTAAAGTTCCTTGAAGGCCTTTTTTCAGATCTCGGACGGGAAGTATCATAATTGCTTTGCCGAGGGGGAGGCACCCGCTGATAATTTTGGGTATTTGTACGAGGGGCTTGGCTCCGGGGATAAGGGTTTGCCTGGAAATTTGGCATTGGAGCTTGGTAATTCGGGAGGGGGTCCTGGTATAATGGAGCTTGGACTTGATAAGTGGGCGGAGGTGGTCGGTAGCTCGACTGTACGTTGGCACAGTTGGGAGCAATATTCTGATAAGGGGATGGGATCTGGTATGGTTGAGGGTAATTTGGGAATATGGGAGAAAAATTTTGGAGATTAGAGGGTGGACCTTAGTACGACGAAATTTGAGCATTCTGATAGGTGGGGATAGTATTGTGGTTATTAGGATGATTGGATTGTGGGTAGTAGGATCGGTGAGACTTTGGGGAAGGCCTGGAACGATCTTGGGAATGTGACGGGTTTTTAGGGGTTTTTCTTCCCCCATACGAGACAGCGGCAACTTCCTCTCTTCGCTTTCTTATCAATCCTGAAGACCCAGGCGACGCAGATACACGGGCTATCTTCCCCGATTTTAGACCATCTTTGATAGTCTCACCGACTTTGACTATCTCAGCGAATTTAGCTCCGACCAGCAACATGATTCTATCATAGTACTCAGGCTCCTGTACCCGCACGAACACTTCCACAATCTCTTTCTCGGTCATGGGTGGCCTTACCCTCGCCGCTTCTTTCCTCCACCTATAGGCAAATTCCCTATAGCTTTCAGTTGGTTTCTGCTTCATCTTCTCTAGAGAATACCGATCGGGCACTATTTCAACATTGTAGGCGAATCGGTCAATGAAGTCCTTAGCCAATGCATTCCAACTGGGCCACTGCCTGGTTTCATGTGAAGTAAACCACTCGAGGGCCTCTCCACACAGACTTCGGCTGAAAAGCCGCATCAACAAGGCCTCATCCCTGCCAACTCCCACGAGCTGGTCACAATACGCTCTCAAATGCGCCATAGGATTGCCCACTCCTCCGAAGGTGTCAAACTTCGGAATTTTAAAACCTTCGGGAAGGTTCAAATCTGGATGGATGCACAATTCTGCGTAGCTAAGTCCGACGGCGTCTGGGATGCACTGCAGCTCTTTCATAGCCCTTTTGATTTCTTCCTTTATATCGATCTTCACTTCTTCTTTCGCCTTCCATTCTCTTTCCTGTTCTTCATAGTGATCCAACTCAGAACCGTGCACCTCGTGCTCGGCAGGAACGGGAACTTGGAAGGTGGCTCTTTTTGGTAGGGGTGGAGCTATAGAGGGACTTGGAACGTTTTGGACGGTCTGGTAGTTTTGTGGGTAGGCCTGAGGATTGGTGTTCTGACTCAAATGCGGATGAAATGCTTGGGTATTGAAGGCAGTTTGAGTTTGGTTTTGATTTTGTGGCGGTGGGGCAGTTTGAGTATTCTGAGGATGGGGTGGTATTTGAGGGTGGTTATTTGGAAGAGGTGAAGGAGTTTGGTAAGATGCAGAAGCGTATTGAGGGTTTTGGGTTGTGAGGTCAATCACAGACGGATTATGCACAGGTGTAGAAGGCTGGTTCTGAGTTGGATCTATGTTTGATGAAAGGAAGTAGACCGGAGGTCTTGCATCAGCAATATTAGTACCAAATCCAGGTGGAGGCGCATCCTGTCTCCGTTGCATTTCAACTTTCATTTCAGCAATCTGTTGCATCAGTTGCATGATCAATTCGTTCTGTTCCACTACAGTGGGCTGAGCCACCACAACGTCTGTAAGACGCCCTTCGTCATTGTTGTCTCCCATAACTATTTTTCCTTTGTCTGAATTTGATCGAGGGAAGGAATCTGTAGGACCTTTTGACCTGGTGAAGTAAGAATGATCTGCCAGCTTTATCGACACAGATCAGTAAAAGGTACCTGAGAGGTAGAAACAACTCAAAGGCAAATTTGTTAGTGCATATCCAGAGTACAAAATGCATAATATCGCACATAAAACAGATAAGCACACAAGTCGTTTTGTTTGAGGATATCTTAACCCACGAATAAGGACGGATATATATTTTGAACAAACAGGAATTTGTTTGTTTGGAGATATCTTGGGAAATCTGAATCACGTTGAGCTATGGTCTTCTTGCAGCTGCTTTGCGACGTCTGTTGATCTTATCTTCGTATCTCCGAAACATGGAGGAGAATGAAAATTTTCTGTGATAGGGGCCGGGCCGGGAAGGCTGCCTACGTATCTCACGGGGAGAATTCAGGCCCAACGTAGTTCGGATTTTAGGATGAAAATTTTCCATTCATTCTTTCGTTGTGATTACAAGGGAATTGAAAAACAACATTGAGATTTCTAGAAGACCACATTTGGAGATTTCTTGTCTTGTGGCTGCGCCATTCCTTTCCTTTCATGCAGTCGAAAATGGAGGCTTGTAGACGATTTCTTCTTCATCATCCTCCTCAATCACTTCATGGCCGGGGCCACTGTTGCCTGTTCCCTGATCACGGGCGAGGTATTTTCCGCCCTTTGGGTCGCTATGGGTTGCCAATTCCTCGTCGAGCGCCGTGCTTCTGTCCAACAACACAGCAGTCTCGATATCTATCTTCGCCTCTCTCGCCTTTCCTTCGTGTATCTCCAAACGAAGCAAGTTCAACCTTTTCCTTAGGCTTTCGGTTTCCATCTCAACCTCCTTCTTTCTCTTTATCTGTGACGCCAGATCTTCATCCAATGTTGTGACCGCAGCTTTGTAGATCGCCGTGGTCGCGTCTACTTTGAGTCCTTCTTCCTTAACCTTCTGAATCTCTCGAGTGACTCGCTCGATCTTTCTTTGCAATTCCTCCTCAGTGAGCTCCGTCTGGACGTTCTTGCCTTTGTCCATAGCGGTGATTCGACTTTCCTGAGATGATAGAGCGGTATTTAGGATTTATGGTATGGATTTTGTGTGAGAAACTTGGGACTCGGGAATTTTGGTCGGACATTTGTAATGTTGGCTTCTGTATACTCTTTTGAATTTTGGCTAGGAGTGGGTTTACGATATCCTCAATCAAAGCAACATAACATATAAACATTTAAACAAATATATCGTGTCCTAAACATGCATGTGACCCTTTTGTGCCAAGGGTAGGCCTAGCGATCTGAAGGATGTATTGCGCCATTTAAATAAGTAATTGTATCCCCGAAACAAATTTCACTAGATGTCATAGCGTTCATTACACAATCAAAATTAAACGGGATATATCTTGGGAAGGGGATGTAGTGCAAATACACATATAAAATCAATCCCACGCAGGGGAGTTAAAAGGTCGATGATCCAGCTCCTCTTCTGGCCTTCTCCACTTCTTCTCGGATAATGCATTTGCTGGTGAACACGTATGGCTCCGCGAACGCAGCTTTGGAAGATGTTGGTACGGCTTGTAAGGTGTTCATCTGCTCGTCCAAAATAGTGTCCAAACGCATTAGACAAGTCCTTGTGTCAGCTAATTCTTGTGACATTACGGCTAAAACTCTCTGATTTTCTAATTCCCGGAGTTGGTACGCTTGCTCCCTTTGTTGAAATTCCTGTTCTTTCTTATAGAATTCCTGCTCCCTCCGGTCCCACTCTTGCTGAAAATGGTACGCGTGAATCTGAAGCCTTGTCTCCACGTCTTCGATTTTCCGACTTGTGCGTGGTGTCGGATCCACTACACCATGCAAATTATTATGCAACCATGTCTTATATTCGTCGACATACCCAGCTCCATACCTATCTTCGGTGACCTCCCACTTCATGTTGACACGTCCGGCCCATTCCTGGAGGATAATTTTAGCGAAAGGTATTTTGTCCTTCCCGTTGTAATCAACAATGAAAGAGCTGGCATCTCCTTGGGCGGGTATGATTTGGACTTTCCCAAATTGCCGCATTACTCGTGTCGGGTTGTAAGGACGCAATCCTCTGATGCCGGGAAGGACTAAAAATGGCAATTTGGCCCCTTGGGCTGCTATCATCTGAGACCTGAAGCTCGGTAATACCCATTGTATGTCTCCTTCTTTCAAATTGTAAAACACCTTTGCCCACGCATCCCTGGTGGTGTGAATTGGAAATTTACGGATACTCAAGTAGAACTCGTAATTATTGAGAGGACTTGTTTGACTTGGTTCGGCCAAACCATGTAGCTGGGGGTTGTCTCTTTTGCATAGATGCTCCGTCAACCACCATTGAAGTAAGATGTTGCAACCTTGGAAAAACGGAAAACCATTCTTGCACAGGCTCAAAGATCGGTAAATGTCGGACAGGATGACTGGGGCCAAACAGCAATATTTCTTTTCTTCAGATTTTCTACCGACTCCTCTGAACATGGCATTCACTACCATTATTACCCGGGTGTCGATCTCTTTTCCTTCGTCTTTAGGGAACACCATAGTTCCCAAGAGGCATGCGGAGAAAGCGATAGCTTGAGTTTGCCTCCAAGTACTGTGATCATGGAATTCGTCCGGGAACAATCTAAAATAATTGTCGTGCCCCCACCTCTCGAAAAACCTCATCAGTGGAATGTTGTGAGTCTCTAGCCAATTCGCATTCACTAGGGATAATATGTCTCTTAGCTCAGTCTCGGTTGGCCTATCTGGCAGGAGAATGTGATGATCGGGACGCTTTTTCCTTTTGCCACACGTCCCAATCGAGTCAAGGCAATCTTTGATCTCTTCTAATGTGGGTTTTATTTCGACATCTCCAAATCGAAAGACCATCTTCTTATCGTCCCAGAATCGGGTGATGACTTCGATAAACGTGGGCCATACCTTGAAGTCCATTATCGAAGGTAGGTGACCCAAGTAAATCGAGATCTCTCTCTTCTGACACTCCTTAAGATTTTCCCACCATACTCGAAGAATGTCGGGTGCCTGGGTGACCATTTTGAAGTGAAGGAACTGACTTGACATCTACAAAAACATACAACTAGTTAATTTTCAATCCCCCCGATACAACAACTCGTTAAACACGCAATACATCCTTCAAATTTAAACAACAAACATGAGCGTCCTATCGAGCCGCAGGCTCTTTGGACTCAAGGTGGACTTTTCTAATGGGCCCGACACTCCTTGGGTGTCGGGTCATCTTAGGCCAATGCGCTATTTTCGGGATTTGGTTTCGCTCTATCCTAGTTTGACTAAGAGTGGGTTGTATTTAGAGTGGAATGGGTAACCCAAGCGGACTACTTGGGCTGGAACAATTAACGATCGTTGACTATCAAGTAATCAACTACACTCGTCAGGGTGCCCCGAGAAGATTTTTGGTTAACGAACGACTGCGAACCCGCATAATCGTCCTTTAGTGGAAATGTAAAAAAGTGTCGTTTGACGGAAGTATGTATGCTATGTATGCAGCAGTTTAAAAATCTAAACAATTTAAACATTTAAACAGTTAATCACAAATAATCAAATACGTTAATCTTAAGGTTAGAATCCTCCAAGTCCCCAGTGGAGTCGCCATTTCTGTTTTATCGAAAAAGGGTGGTGATTTTCGAAAAGAGTTTGTTTTTAGACTTTTAGGAGTCGCCACTTAATTTTTAAGAAAAATCAAGAAAACTTCGTTTCTAAACAACTTAAACAGAAAAAATTGTTTTGAAACATTTTAAGGGTTCGGGATTCCTATTAGTATCTTAGGAAGGTGTAAGGCACCCAAAACACTCCGTTAACTTACGGTTTTCCAATGATTAACTATTTGATTATTTTTATTTTTAACCTTTGCAAATTTATTTGAACTTTTAACATGACTTACTTAGCCAAACTTAGCCAATTTTGAAATATTTATTGTTTATCTTGCCAGTTTACGAAACCATTTCAAAGTTAAGCTTACTCAAGGTTTTATCTAAACAAGCCTTACGAATTTGAAACAATTTATCATTTAGAAGTTAGTTTTAAAATTTTTTAGGTTTGATAAAATAACAGGCGTTCGATGAGGGTTTGGAGTTTCCTAATCCTAAGCTAACGGCATTGAAAACAAAATAAGATAAGCAAATAGTAAAGAGAAGGATAGAGAGAGAGAGATTTGGGTCCAACTCCGGGTTCTGTTATCCTTGACCGAATGTTGGACCCACCTGCCTTTGGGTTTTTTAGCCCATTTCTGTACCTGTCCTAATCTAAACATACAAACATAATATAGAAAACAAAAAAACGACAAGAGGGCTTAGGCCCATTACAAAATATGCAAAGTAAAATAAAACGAAAGAAAAGTCTTTTAGTCCATCGTCTTCAATCTCCATGACCCTTGTCTTTCTACACTTGCTCGTTTTGATGAATTGACTCGATAAAGTTCAGAGTCTTCAAGACTCTCTCGAAATGCGAGGAGGATAATAAGATTCCCATAATGGACTCACGGGGAGTTTTCACATGTCACAAAAAAAACGATAAAATGAAGATTGGCATTTTTAAAACTACAATTAGAATAAGCAAGGTTCTAAAGCATAACAAGGATATCTTTATAATGCAATACTAATTAAATCTTCATGAGAAGCAAAGCCAACATCCAACAACCTTAATGGTACTTAGAGATATGCAAATCAGTCAACCTAAATGACACTACATAACGATACATAAACTGTGCGGCGAAACCCCAAGTGTAGTGAAACCTTCACACAAAATTGTTGGTAATTTCCAAATTTTATATTTAAAGAAAGGACTTAGCATGGGATAAATAACGAATACAAATAGAGATGCATCATAAATTGAGTATCAATTAGCCGTTTTGCGCTTCAAACATTTGAAACAAACTTGAACCAATCATAAGAGGACAGCCTCATCAAATAAAACAGGATCCCGATCACCTTATCACCCAAACATCTAACACACTAAGCGAAAGGACCATTCAATCGACCTACTACATGGCTGTGACCTCGGACAGCTAACACAAGTGGCCACCAAGATAAAGATGGCCTTTCAAACCACAGATTTCCAAAATCCACACCACCCATACGGCATACAAAACGAAACTTTCATGCAAGACGCCTGACAAACATGATATCTAAACAAGATAACAAGTTTGGGAGATAAATACATTATAGAGAATAAACAACCCTCATATATTCTTAAAGCGATACTCGAACCAAAAGCTTGAAGAAGGTTCGATTGAAAAGAAGCTTACAACTACAACTCCCGCGAGATAGACATCATGAGCAAGCTTGGACGAGACAACAAGGGAAAATTACACTCTAAACATACATACATGCATACAAACAATCCAAGAGCCTGCTTTAACGAATAGACATCGATACTCGGATTAATGAGTCATTTCACAGAAGCTCTTGCCAATATGTCTTAACAATCTCATTCCAATCATGTGACGAATAAATAGTGTTCTACGAGATTAAGCTAGCATATATTGAAAGTTCTAAATGGCAAGCAAAGCAGCGACAGTGTTAACAAACCACAAAGACAAGCTCAACCGACCATGTATATTCACATTTTCGAGTATCTCAACATGTTCGACCACAAACTAAGAAAGGGCCAGCAAGTCGATTAACAAACATCACATGTCATACGGCGAAGGCTCCTCGAAACAAATACAAAGTCATGACTAACTCGTGAAGACAAACAGAGAAGCAATGTCGACGAACCATCACATTGGGACAGAATCACAACGTAAGACATATTCCAGACTTAAACAACCAAACGAAATATGATACCTCATGTTGACAGCACCACAAACCACGACTCAACTCCATAAAGAAAATTTAAAATAATAAAGAAAAATGGGACATGTACCTTTCTCGGAGCAGCGGAACAGGGATGACGGCGAGCAGACGACGATGACTTCCCCACGCGACCCACGGCTAGACGTTTATCTCGTTTGTTCTTCGTATTGGAGTCCTATTCCCGAAAAATCCCGACTGTTTTGCTACACGAACAGGACAGGAAGAAATCTTCTTCAAAGTCTTCCTAAACCAGAATTTCTAACCAAATTTTCTAACTTCTTTTGGTTATCTCAGAAACAATGGAATAAACCCAGAATTTCAAACAACGTTCCCAACCCAAAATTTCCTAACAAGAGACGGAAGAAGCAGAGTCTTTTTTTTTCGAAAATTTTCTCAACCAAAATCCCTAACCCTTTTCTGTGTCTTTCTTTTCTTTTTCAAAAATCTCAAATATCTAACATTCTTTCAACTCCCAAAATTCCCAGCGCTCCAAGTTCTGCTTTTCCGAATTTTTCGATGAAAAAATCTCTCACCCCTTTTCTGATGAAGAAAAGGGGTATTTATAGAGGAGAAGAAATAGCCCCCCTTTTCTCCTTTTGAAATCGAAACTAAATCCCGTTTCGGTCAAACTTCACATGGCACAGGCGTGTTGGAGAGGATGAAATTGACACCTCGCAGACCTACTCGACAGCGTATGGGTCTCTGCGCTTCCGTTTGGTTCACGCGAAGAGAAAGATGGAAGGAGAAGAGCGTGGGGTTGTTGGAGTCTCTCTGTTTTTCGCGTGATTTCTGGGGAATTATGGGTTTTTGTCGAGAGGGGAAGGAGAGAGCGAGCGTGGGGGAGACGCGGGGAGAGGATAAGAGGAAGGGAGAGAGCGAGGAGAGAGCGTGGGGAGGGGGTCGCGTGGCTGCGCATCTGGGAATTGTTTGGGAATTTTGGCTTTCTGTTTTGCTGGGTTCGCGTGGGGTGAGGGGAGAAGAAGGAAAGGGCAACGGGTCGGGTCGGGTAGGATGGGTTCTGGGTCGGGTAGGATGGGTTATGGTGAATTGGGTTGGGCTGGAGAATAAAAGAATTGGGTGTTGGGATTAATTTGTTGGGCTTGTTTTAAAAATGTGTGTTGGGTTGGTATTTTTTAAAAGAAATAAAAGGGGATGTTGGACTGGGTTGAAGAGGATGGGCGTCTGGGGGGAATTGGGCCTTGAGTCTGTGGGCTGTTGGGAATATTGGGTGTAAGGAATTTAGGCAAAATGGGTTGAGGACGAAAGTGGGCCTCGGAATAAGAGTGGGCTGATGGGTAAAGGAATGGGTTCAAGATATACATATATACATATACATATATGTATATACATATATGTATATATGTACATATATTTATTTTCGCAAGGTTTATAAAACTAACTAACTCATACCGACGCGGGTCAAAATTGGGTGTCAACAACATTTTTAAAGAGTTGTGACTTTTATGAAAAATTGTGACTTTAATAAAGAGTCGCGATTTTTATAAAGGTTGTGACCTTTCTAAAGGAATGCAACTTTTTTAAATAGTTGTAAACTTTTTGATAACACACAAAATACATTTGTTCACACTTCTTTGTTGTCTATAAATAGAGGGATTTTCTTTTATTTTAAAACAACAAAAATTCTTAAACCTCCTCCTCTTCTTCTTCTTTTTGCACAATTAAATAGTTATGTATTTTGCTCATGTTGAGTGACTCACTGAAACTATTTCTTATGTAACAGATCCTAGTATGTAATTTTATAGTCACTAATTTATGCTTATGTTATTAAGGATAAATGATAAGATTTGATAATTTTCATTTTCCTTTACATTATTAATATTTGTTATTACATAATCTTGTATGTAAGATAATATATATAGTGTTTTAGTTTTAATGATCGATAGATTTTTAGTATTATTTTATAAATTAATGAAATACACGTCTTATTTTTCCCTTATTTTCAATATTCCCTTTTATTTCTAAAAACCTCTAAAATTCCTTATTTATTTAATGTAACTGAGTTACATATTAATGTATCTAAATCAATATTTAATATATTTGAGCTGCATATTATGTATTCGGTTTATTTTATAATGTATCTGAGCTAGTTCTTAATGTATTCGCGCTGCATATTAATGCATCCAAAAACTAGTATGTAATGTATCCAAGCTACATATTATGTATCCTATTTATGTTATGATGTACCCGAGCTACATGTTATGTATCCGAGCTACATGTTATGTATCCGATTTATGTTATAATGTATCCGAGATACTCTTTAATGTATCTGAGCTACATATTAATGTATCCGATTTGTGTTACTTTTAAGAGATTAATGTAATTACAAACTAAAGAGGGATAGATTGTAACTTCACATTAAAACTCTGTGATTTCTAAAATTTATCCAAAATCTGTAATATTAAATGCACGAATAGTTTTACTAGTATATATATAGCATATCAAACTATGTTTTCACTTTAAGTTGAAAGGGTTTGTGTATATATATTCCACACGCATATATACAAACTTATTATCAATATTATTTTGGTAATTTTTCATTCATTTTTTTCGCAACCAAAATATTCTTTTTATGGGCAAAAAACTACTTTATAATTAGTTCCTCCAAGACAAGTAAAATATTAGTTTTAGCATCCTTAGGGTAAGCATCATAACACCTTTCCTTAAAAACACTTACACTGTTGGATCACATTTACCGGAATAACAACAATATTGATCGGTCTTAAAAATCGTACAAGGATTGTTATAACATCCTCTGCGAGTTTTTAGCACTCATGGACAAATCATGTTAATATCAACTCTACACCTAGTGCCACGAGCACGCCCATTCGATATAGGGCTAAATTCTATTGACACGTTGAATCTAGCGATGAAATAGACATTCAAAAAATTAAAAAAATATATCATCTTAAAACTTCCACTACATAAATTGTGAAAATTTGTAACTCTTTCAATACAGAATTAAATGGATGGAATGATTACAAGGAAAATTTCTATAAGGGAGAAATTTAATAGGTAGCCACTTATATATTTGATAAGTGTAAGACATCATATTGAAGGAGCAATAGAGAAAATTCATCACATGAAATCATGATATTAATTATGGCTATATTATATTACATACTGTCATTTAATCTAAATTACCAAACTGCAATGATGATTACTTCTTTAATTTCTGGAGATTCAAAGTTAATTAAAAAAACTCTGCTAATGAAATTAAGAAAACAGGACTGTTGGTTCATTGGTTAAGTTTGACTATCGATTTAGCGTGTTATAAATAAAAAATACACAAAAACCTAACTGAACCAATCAATAACCACATGGACAATATCCAATACGAGTTATGAACCTGCCAATTTATTAGCACTAGGCATGTTCAGGGATGGTCGACAGTGTTAAAAAAAGACATGTGTCATAGGCCTTCAAATTTAAATTATAACAGTCGTAAATTATTATTTTTTAAAAAAAGTTTAACATTTCATGAAAAATGAAGAAATCATTAGAAGAATTTTGACATATTTGGAATACTATATCTCATGAAAAATAATTAAAAATAAGAAATGATTATACTATCACATGAAAACTAGACGAAATCAATTATATAAAAATTATTAACAATTTAAGTTTAAAACCCCATTTAATTTTTACTTTAGAACGTAATACGCTTGAGCCGCCCCCTCGATTTAACCAGGACGTAAAAGTACTAACGATATTATTGTTTATTCATTATGATAAAACTATATTCAGTTGAAGGGAGACATACATAACACACGTTGGAGATTATTATCACATTAAGGCAACATAGTTTAGCAGACCGTTTAAGATGCTTATTATTTTGGTAATTTTTTCATACCATTCAATTTGTAGCAAAATATGCTTTATTGTGGCATCAATTATGGGCAAAAAACAACCCTATAATTTGTACTACCACTAGGGCAAGTGAATAAGCTAGTAGGATCATCTTGAGGGTAGCTATACGCATTAGGGCACCTTTGTTTGAAAAATCTCGAAAATTTTGTAGGACCACATGGGCCTTGAGTACAACAATATTGTTGTCCTCCGAACGTGGTACAAGGGTTGTTACATCCTCCGGGTACCCTAAGTGGACTAGGGCATTCACCGTTTATATTAGCCGTGCAATGAATTGCATGGCATTTTCCTCCACTAGGATTGGTTGGGGCGAAAGTCATCGGTATATTAAATCCGTCAACCAAAGAAATGTCCCAGAAATCTAGGTTGCTGAATTGGTCCAAAGCATATTCAGCTAGGGTGTTTGGGGGTTTGCCCCACCCGGTACAGTGTAGGACCCCACCACAATCACCAGTTTGGCATGAACCTCTACCAGCACCATTAAAATTGCAATTAGTACGACCCCATATACGTGCCATCTTAGTGCCCCTCGGCGCATTGATGACCCATGTTTGGCCTCGATCGAGACGTCGACCACCGCCTATCGGGGTCGATGCTGCCCAAACGGTGTAGGGACAATTGTTGCGTACCTCGATAGTGGCAGCATAAGTGTAAGTCACTAAAGCAAGGAAGAAGAAAATAAAAGAAGATGTCAAGTAGCCCATGTTTGTGTACATATTTTTGTTTATTTTTGATATATAGTTACATATTATTGGGTAGTTTATATAGGGGTGTGACAACTTTTGGCACCTTGCACATTTAGAATTCCACTATATAAGTTGTGGAAATTTTTACCATAAAGAATTAAATGGATGGAATGATCATATGGAAAATTCCTCTAAAGGAGAAATTTACAAGCCACTTAAATTGGAGGAGGAATAGAGAAAGTCATCACATGAAGTGATATTAATGACAATATTATATAATTGTCTTTTAATTTGTTAGCAACAATAAAAAATTCATAGCTAATTCCTAATCTGCAAAAATGATTAATTCTTTATTTTCTAGAGATTCAAAGTTAATTAATTATAAAACTCTCCCAATGAATTTAGAAAACAGGGAATGTTTTTTGGTTCGTAGGCAAGAAAGTTTTTGGAATTAAACACAACAAAAATAATCCTCATATCCTATTTTTAACTAATACTTTAATGTGTCTAGATTTTTATTAATATGTCTGCTTTATATTAAAATTTCATTTTTTTAAAAAATAATAGGAAAATTCTCAGACCGTCCATAAAGAAAAATCAAAATTAAATAGTTTCTTCTATTCAAAATTAAGATGAGTTGTCACCATACTTTTAGAATTTTTGATTTTTTTATGCAAGAATAAGACTTACGAGAACAAATGGTAATCAAAATAAGATAGGAAAAAGGGTCAAATTTCCTTTTTTTTTCGCCTAACTTATTTTATTAACTAATTCATATTTAGTTGTGTCTAAAACAGGTTTAACTGATAAAGGTTAAATAAAAAAAAATGTTACTACTGTGTTGATTTATCAATTTTGGGTTATTGAATTAACCGTCTTAGAATATTAGTTCAGCTTCCAATTTTAAAATTTTAGTTAATGATTAAATCAATAACCTAATAAAATTATATTAAAACTACTTTTTTTTATTTTTATTTCTATTTATATAATAATGACTTTATTTAAACTTCAAATACAAAACCTATTTTCTTTTGCATTTTATAATCAATGTATTGATGCTGATGTGTTTTGTGCACTTGTTAAAGTTGTGTTATTATATTATTTTAATATTAATATAATAAATGAAGCAGTGTTTTTGCTTGTAAATTTCTAGATTTCTATTTATGAAGTTCTGACTTAAACGTATCTAACGAATAATTAAATAAAAAATCAAGTATTTAAGGATCGATAGTTGATTATCTAAATTATTGATCATTGATTTAGCATGTTTATAAATAAAAAATCGATAAACTAAACCACAAAATCTAACCAGTAAACATTGAGACCATATCGAATACACCTACAAGTAATTCATTAATAAGTTTCAAATTCAATATACAACAACAAAAAAAAAAGGCAAGAAAATGTTGAAGTAAAGTAAATAACGACACACGATTATTAAAGATATTATTATTTGTTCATCAATGATCAAAATATATAAGTTGAAGGGAGTGTGTATACATTACACAAATAAGATATTATTATCTCACCCAACATAAATAGTTTAACAAACCTTTTAAGATACTTATTGTTTTGGTAATTTTTCATACCATATAATTTGTAGCAAAATATGCTTTATATTGTGGCATTAATTATGGGCAAAAAACAACCTTATAATTTGTACTATCACTAGGGCAAGCAAATGTGCTAGTAGCATCATCTTGTGGGTAGCTATAGGCATCAGGGCATCTCTGTTTGAAAAATTTCGACCACTCAGTAGGACTACATGGACCTTGGGTGCAACAATATTGTTGTCCTCCAAACGTGGTACAAGGATTGTTACATCCTCCGGTTACTTTAAGTTGACTAGGGCATTCACCGTTTATATTGGCGGTGCATTGAATTGAGTGGCATTTTCCTCCACTGGAATTGGTTGTGGCGAAAGTCATCGGTATATTAAATCCATCGACTAAAGAAATGTCCCAGAAATCTAGGTTGTTAAACTGGTTCAAGGCGTATTCGGTCAAGGTGTTTGGCGGTTTACCCCACCCGGTACACTGCAAGACTCCACCACAATCACCAGTCTCACAAGAACCTCTACCAGCACCGTCAAAGTTGCATTTAGTACGACCCCATATACGTGCCATCTTAGTGCCCCTCAGTGCATTGATGGTCCAAGTCTGGCCTTGATTGAGACGTTGAAAAATCTTTTTTTTTTCATGTTTCTTGTTTATTTTAAATTTTATATATTTGTTTGTTTGTTTTTTTCTCTGAAAGAACGTTTCTCTCTTCTTCTTTTTTTTATTATTTTATTTTATCATTATTTTTAGTATATTATTATTTTATAGTTTTGTCTTCTTCTTTTCTTTTTTTTTTTCCAATTATTTTGTACTAATTTTGTTATTCTTTTATCGTTTTTTTTAATTGTGTTGTTATTATTTGTTTTGAAACATTTTAAGGGTTCGGGATTCCTATTAGTATCTTAGGAAGGTGTAAGGCACCCAAAACACTCCGTTAACTTACGGTTTTCCAATGATTAACTATTTGATTATTTTTATTTTTAACCTTTGCAAATTTATTTGAACTTTTAACATGACTTACTTAGCCAAACTTAGCCAATTTTGAAATATTTATTGTTTATCTTGCCAGTTTACGAAACCATTTCAAAGTTAAGCTTACTCAAGGTTTTATCTAAACAAGCCTTACGAATTTGAAACAATTTATCATTTAGAAGTTAGTTTTAAAAATTTTTAGGTTTGATAAAATAACAGGCGTTCGATGAGGGTTTGGAGTTTCCTAATCCTAAGCTTACGGCATTGAAAACAAAATAAGATAAGCAAATAGTAAAGAGAAGGATAGAGAGAGAGAGATTTGGGTCCAACTCCGGGTTCTGTTATCCTTGACCGAATGTTGGACCCACCTGCCTTTGGGTTTTTTAGCCCATTTCTGTACCTGTCCTAATCTAAACATACAAACATAATATAGAAAACAAAAAAACGATATTTTTGTGAAGTTAACTTTTTAATAAATGATAAATATAATAAATTTCAAAAATCAAATATATTTGGACGACTACTTAAATGTTTCAGTTTATTTTTTGAGCCAAATTTTTATCAGTGTGAATTGAATTGATTCAAAATTTGAAAAAGAAAAATATTTTCCACCTCAATTTTTCTATATATTTTGTGTAAAAATGATTTTTTTTTCCCGAAGTTCTTAAAGCAAACTTGACAATATCACAAAATATTTAAATTTCATTACTTCAAAATGATCTAAATATTCCTGCTGAATATGATGTTAGTTTATAATGAAATTAGACGAGAAATTCCTGAATATGACTGCCCACGTGAATTTTAGTTTTTCTTTGACAAAGAAAAACATGGCAACTACTTATTAATTTTTTTAAATTGATCAAATATTTATTTTCAAAAATAATTAATTATTAAGAGTATAATTAAAAAATTATTATAATTTATACATTAATTTTACAAAATAACAAATATTACGAACTAACTATTTTATAATAAAAATGACATATAAAAAGATACGGAATAAAAATAATCACATATATCAATAATATTACATCGGAATAATGATGAGGAAAATTTTCCACGAGTCACTATTCCACGTCCGCATTTAATTCTTCATGAATATTTTTTGGTCTTTTTGGGAACCTTCTCCTAACTTTACTCGTATCGAATTTAACTAAATCTAAATTCTTATTAAAAAATTCTATATTAAAAATATAATATTTGTGATTTAAAATTGTGAACATCTAATTTTTTATCAAAATATAAAGAATCAAACACCAATTTTTTTAAAAAAAGGTTATATTTAAAATAAAATAAAATAATAATAATAAATTGTAAATTAATAAAACTAATAAAATCAATTATAGTTTATTAATAAAAAAAGAATTGATAAATAGAAGTTGGGAATTTAAGTTATTTGTTAATTATCTAGTTTAAAAATAATTTAAGTTATTTGTTCACCTTATCCTAATTATTCCCAACTTTCTAACTTATTTTACTAAAAAGTTTCATTCCATTAATTTTGATTTTTTTTTCTTCTGACGTTCATTTGACTTTTTTTTTAATTTTTTTTTTAAATTTAATTTTCTATTATTATTATTTATTTATTTTATATCCTTATCTCAACCCCAATTCCCTCAACAATATTTCAAACTAAATCCTAATCCAACTCTATTACTATCCATTTAATTAGCATCAAACTCTCTCAGTTGAGAAGAAAACAGAGAATACAGACAAAGAAGAGACACAGACACACAGATACAGAGAGAAATATAGGGGAAAAAAACGAGTTATTTCTTTTGAGAATTAGGCTAGAGTCAGAAATTTGGAAATTTGATCGTGATTCCGAATTTGTGGATACAGCTCGCTTTTTGTGGTATCAATTTTCGCAGCGAGCTAACTATAAATTCTCGCGTGATTTAAATAATACTACTTCTATGAAAAATTGATTTTAATAGCAATCACATGTATTATATTATTGTTACGTTATTACTATTATTATGTTTTTTTTAGATAGATTTTGCAATTTATGTTGCTTCATGATATTGAGTTGTTGAATTTAAATAGATTAATATATATTTTCGTCTATTTTCACTTTAGAAGATTTTTGTTGAATTAATTGTATACTTGTTAGATTAGGATATAAAAATAATAACTAATAAATAATTTTTTTTCAAAAAGAAAAACTAATCTAAGTAGAATTGTAATTAAAAGGTAAATAAATTTCATTTAGAGATTAATATTATAAACTAATAATAATAATAAAAATAATAATAATAATAATAACAGAAGTAAAAATTGAGAAATGATATAAAGAGAAAAGAGATTTTAAAAAGAAAAAGAAAAAAAAAGGGGCATGAAAATATAATAATAAAAAAAACATAACAAAATTTTTTAACAAAAACAAAAAAAAAAGAACGTAAATTAAAAAAAAATACAAAAACGTAAAAAATAAAAAGGGAGAAGTAAGAAATAAAAAATAGAAATTTAAAATTAATAAAATAAAACGTTAAAAAAAAACAAATAATAACAACACAATTAAAAAAAACGATAAAAGAATAACAAAATTAGTACAAAATAATTGGAAAAAAAAAAGAAAAGAAGAAGACAAAACTATAAAATAATAATATACTAAAAATAATGATAAAATAAAATAATAAAAAAAAGAAGAAGAGAGAAACGTTCTTTCAGAGAAAAAAAAAACAAACAAATATATAAAATTTAAAATAAACAAGAAACATGAAAAAAAAAAGATTTTTCAACGTCTCGATCAAGGCCAGACTTGGACCATCAATGCACTGAGGGGCACTAAGATGGCACGTATATGGGGTCGTACTAAATGCAACTTTGACGGTGCTGGTAGAGGTTCTTGTGAGACTGGTGATTGTGGTGGAGTCTTGCAGTGTACCGGGTGGGGTAAACCGCCAAACACCTTGGCCGAATACGCCTTGAACCAGTTTAACAACCTAGATTTCTGGGACATTTCTTTAGTCGATGGATTTAATCTGCAAATTAGAAATTCGGGTAAGGAATTCTGTTGACCGAAGGGAAGGTATTAGGCACCCCTCGAATCCCGTGGTTCTAGCACGGTCGCTTTATTAACTTTAATATGACCTGACTTAATTTTGGATATTATATTTTTTAAACTAATTATAAAATTGTTATTTATCCTCAAATTTATTTTAAACTTATTTCAAACTGGCTTATTTATTTTAAAGGGTGTTTATTTTTATTTTTATTTTTGTGTAATTTTAAAATTGAACATCCGTATATATTTTTTTTGCTTATATTTGTATGTTTTTAATTTTTAATGTTATAATAGGTAGAATATATATAGATATCTAATTTCTAAGAATTAGAGTTTGTGTAAAAAGGACATATTTAGAGTTCAAGTTAATTTAGGATTACATATTTTAGATTTTATCGAGACTCAATACAGATACCAGATATTAATTTCTACTGCAGGGTCTATTTGGGAGTGGCGCTTCTAACATGATTTTTTTCATATCCAAAGCTCGAATTCGAGATTTCTGATTAAGGTAAAGCATTCTCACTAGTGCACCACAACTCATGTTGGTCATATAAAATTTTTTAATTTTTGTGATAATATTATTTTCTTCTAAAAAGTCTCACTCAATTAAGAATATTCTTAACACTATATTTAGCTTCTTCTATTTTTCAATTATATATTAATATTTATTTGCACATATTAAATTCATAATTTAAATTGCAATTGACCGCATGCAAATCAAAGTCTTCGTCAAATACGACGAGTCGTACACATGCCTTAAAATTTGAGGGGCTTATTTTTTTAGCAATAATATACTTATAAGTAATTTCAAAAGTAAGTATCATCTATTTCAATTTTTAGTTTAACAGTATAAGATTTAAATGATTTTTTTATTTAATTTCAATTATCATATCAAGTCAAAAAATAAGATAAATAAATGGAAAATTGAAAGTACTATTTATTGAATAAAAATAAACTATTTCATGTGAAAGAAAAAAAATAACTTTCCATCACTTTTTAAGAAATATATTAGTAGCAACTTTGTATTCTAAAAAAAAATATAGAAGAATGGACTTTCTTTAAATTTTAAATAGTACTTATTTGAATTATAAAATAATCTCAATTAATGTTCTATTTTTTTTCCAAGAGATATATTATGGTTTAAAAATTAATCCATGATGTGGAAAAATGATCAGGAAATTTTCCCACAAACCACTATATAACTTCTTCTTTTCTGTACTTTTGAATTCGATTAAATTAAAAATTTTGTTAAAAAATTCAAATTGAAGATATAACTTTCAACTTTAATGAAAATTTTAGATCAACATTTAAATTTGAGATTACTGGAAAAAAAATTGGCATGTATTACTTATGTAATAATAGTTATTAACTATTTGTTTTAGAATTATCAAAATTCCAGTATAATTAGGTGATTCTTTTTTGGGACATTGTGGGGTTTCAACTTTCAATTTACAAGACTAGCAAGACTTGCTGTTGATAGGTTAGAAAAGTCTTTGTAAGAAATGAATTGTATTATTTTTCAAAAAAATTATAATATAAAAGAAGATATAAATACATGTGTAATGATATATTATCTAATTAAAATAATAAGTATTTTAAAGTTAAAGTATATTACTAAATATAAAAAAGATATTTATCATTTATTCAAAACTGATTAAAGAAAATCACATAAATTAAAATGAAAGAAATACAGCCTTATTTTCTCAAATTAGTGGAAATAGTTAAAATTTGAATTTGAAATAATGACATTGCAAACCCGTATTGTATATATAATATATCAAAAAGCTATATACCTATAGGGAAATATAATTAATATATAAATTTTTCTCGTCAAGTAAAAAAGTGTTAATACATATCTTAATATATAGATATTCATTCAAATTCAAATGTCTTAATTTTAAGGAAAGTATTAGAAACAATTAAATGCTTACAACTAAACGAAACAAAAAATTCAATCTGTCGGTGGCATTTACTGACACTAAAAGGGAATAATTAGAAATGTTCATTTTTTAAAAAATAAAATAAAAATAGAAATCTCCTATAACCAAAAACGACATTTTCTATTAATTTACCCTTTATATATTTTTTATCACTTTTAAAACACAATCCTAATTTTTAGGGAAAAAATAAATTAATTCTTCATATCTTGATTTTTAAATTGACTAGGATTTTAAAATGAACTTTGTCTTTAATAATGTTGATAATTAATATGAGACAAAGTCGGAGAATACTTAATGGCTTTAGTCATGTTGCTC